CTAAAGGTAAGTCTTAATTCTTTTTTATCGAACTATCCTTCGAACTTTTCGAGCCCTACTAACCTAGCTAGTCGTTTTTTTCGAGATATCCGCTAAACGCCTCGGCTTACCTCTTAGGCCTAAGACCCCGGAATCCTCGACCCTGTCAACCCGTGGCTGAAGGAACAGACTGTCCGTTCTTTCGGTTGTTAGTTAAGATTAGATTACCGGCATTTTTTGCACACGGTCTATTCTTTTAGTTTTAACCGTCCGTTCTTTTGTTGAGGACCACTTAGTTCAACACGCCACTCTCTACAATTCATCGAACGACCGAGGCGCTTCGTTTGCACCCACTCCCAATGTCATCCGAGTCGTGGGCATGATATTTTCGCCCGATGAAGTCGCCGCCGAAATTTTAGAGGAGGTGTTACGTAACTAAAAAATCCCCGCACGCCGATTTGGAGATGAGATGTTTGAGGATCCTAGGGATCCCGGATAAGTTATCAGGCCCGGCTCCGAAAGTTATTTCGAGTCGCGACTATTTTAGCTCGCGTACCGCGTCGCGCGATAGAATACCTATTTTCCGTTCGTTTTCTATTTATTCTAGTTTATTATAGTTTAATTCTAGTTTATTATAGTTTAATTATAGTCTATTATAACGTGGATGATAAGCGAGCTGGCCAGATAAGCGAGCTAGCCACTTTCCCTCAAAATCACGACCATCAACTTTGAATAGATATTACTCTACCACTAAAGCTAAATATATCTTTAAATGAATATTAGTTAATCCTTGCCCAACAAGCTATCAAGAAAAACCCAAAACTAAGTATTCGAGAGGCAGCTAAACTCTACTCGGTCCCTCGTTCTACCCTGGGTACGCGACTTAAGGGTACCTAATCTCGATACGATAGCATACCTAACTTACGAAACCTGACCTTCCTCGAAGAGGACACGATTATTCAGTATACTCTCGACCTCGATGCGCGATCGCACCCTCTCCGACTCGGTGGTGTGGAAGATATGGCTGACCGACTACTGGCGGAGCGCGACGCGCCGCCCGTCGGAAAGCGATAGGCGTCCAACTTTGTTAAGCGACGACTAGAGCTCCGGACGCGTTTCTTTCGTCGGTATGACTATCAGAGGGCCCAATATGAAGATCCCGACGTGATTCGCGCGTGGTTCGCGCTCGTAAAGAATATAGTCGCAAAATATAGCGTGGTGGACGCGGATATCTATAATTTTAACGAGACCGGGTTTCTAATAGGTATAATCTCGATAGGCATAGTCGTGACGAGTGCCGAAAGGCGCTCGGGCGCGAAGTTGGTTCAGCCTGGCAATCGAGAATAGGTGATAGTAATTTAGGGCGTCAACGCGCTAGGCTGGACGGTTCCGCTGTTTATTATTATTTCGGGTAAATACTATCTCTCCACCTAGTATTAAAACAGCTCTCTCCCACCTAACTAGGTTATCGCCACGTCTCCTAACGGCTGGATCACGAACGAGAGAGGTCTAGAATGGATCCGGTACTTTAATTAGTATATAAAACCGCGAACGACAGGTAAATATCGTCTCTTAGTGCTCGACGGGCACGAAAGCCACTACTCGACCGATTTTAAGCTCTATTATAAGGAGCACGATATTATTACCCTCTATATACCGTCTTATTTATCTTATATCCTCTAGCCTCTCGACGTTAGGTGTTTTAGCCCGTTAAAACGGGCGCACGGTGGTTAAATTGAGAAGAGAGTCCGGGCCGATATCACCCACATTTCGAAGGAGGACTTCTTTCCCGCGTTTTTAGCCGCTTTTTAGTAGACAATAACGGTTTAAAACGTCTAGGGAGGATTTAGAGGGGCCGGGCTCGTTCCTTACGACCCGGAAAGTGTGATTGCTCGTCTAGATGTGAAGCTACGGACACCTACACCCGATACACCTAGTATTGCGGCGACCTAAGTATAGGTGTTAAAGACGCCTAATAACCTAACTAAGGCTACCTCGCAGTCCACCTTCATTAAGAATCGAGTCTCCGGTTATTAAGGAAGCTCACCGACACCGATTCTTAAGGCTATTAACTAGTTCACGAAGGGTACGACGGGAATTATACATCAGATCGCGTTATTGAAGTCCGAGGTTAAGTCACTACGCGAGGACAGTACACTACTTAGCCGCCGTCGCCGCGCGAAAAAGAAGCAACTACGCGCTAGAGGGAGTATGACGCTTGAGGAGGGACAGCGTCTAGAGTCTCGTAGTCGTATTTAGGTCGTAGTAAAGCAGGAAAGGTTGTCGGAGAGTAGTTTAAGTTAGAGGCCTGAAACGCGCGCGCGGCGGTGTGGTGTCTGCGGCAACGTCGGGTATAACTCTAGAACCTATTAAGTAGTTATTACTTCGTCTAAGGAAGAGGAATCTAAGTAATTCTAAACAATTCAATATATAGTGGTTAAGTATAGGCCGATTATGTTGAGGTGGTCGGGTTGGAGTGGCTAGCTCGCTTATCTGGCCAGCTCGCTTATCATCCACGTTAGTCTATTATAGTCTATTATAGTCTATTATAGTCTATTATAGTCTATTATAGTCTATTATAGTCTATTATAGTCTATTATAGTCTATTATAGTCTATTATAGTTATATTCTAGTCTATTATAGTTGTCACGGTTTTGATAGGCAACCACGTGACTAGCGCGTGGTTGCACCTGGCACGTGACCGACGTCGCCGCTCGGTGGGCATATCCTGCACCTCGCGGCCTCCATGACTCCTTACGAGTTCCTTGTTCTACAATTTACTCTTTTATGTGCATCTCTTGCTCGATCCGTGAGAATAGTTTAGGATAGTATAGTGTATTATAGTTTCGTCTACTATACCCTATTTCGAGTCCTATTTCGAGTATTAGCCCGAATACCGAGTAATATTTTGTAAGATATATCGGTTTTATCCCGTACCTAGTTAAATCACCCGTTATTTACGAGATTATCACGGCTATATTAGTGCCGCCATTTAACGGTAAATTATCGAGACCGTCTAATAGATTCCCGATTTAGCCTAGCAGCCCGGCTAGGTTCGATACCCGGATCCGAATACACTACCCATCCCCGAGTTAGGAGTTATCGAAAACGCGTTCCGATATATAGTACCCCGAAATAATGCCACCGAGGGTGGGTATAGGTATATATATTTGAATATTAAGAGTATATAGCGTTATTATAAAGATCAACACGGTTAGATTAACGTTCAGAAAAGAGGTCGTATAGGTCGAGGCGGTCGCGATACACGATAGCCGTAGACGCCTAATCGTATTTAGGTGGACGGGTATTTTAGACAATAGTTTTTTCGGGTCGATAAATAGAAGAAGATTTTCCCCGTGGCGGCGCCCGAGTCCGCCCGCGTGACGGTAGATAAGATTATATAACGGGCGGAACGATAATTAGCGACGTAATAAAAAGCTATTAAAGAATTTCGATAATATAAAGTAATAGGTTATTAGGAAAATCGATATAAAGATACTATAGAAAAAGAATAGAGAGATGGCGACAGAAAAGGCGATCGCGCTCCTGCAGGAGCTTCAAAACGGCTTCGACGAGGTCAGAGGACAGACAATTGACGATAACACCTACTTCGCGCTCGCAGGAAGGCTGAGCGCAGCGCTGAGAGGACTTCAGAGCTCAGAACGCGAAAATCTG